CGCATGTGCACGCGTGTGTGTGTGTGTGTGTGTGTGTGTGTGTGTGTATGTGTGTGTGTGTGTGTGTGTGTAGATAAGGTCAGAGAGGAGGTAGCAGGACCTGATCATTTAGGGCTTTCTGAGCCACTGTCAAGAGAGACAGAAGATCACTGTCAGTTTTGGGGTCTATCCACCTCATGTCTTAACAGAGTCCCTAGCAGGGGACAGACTTTTAAGAAGGCAGGGTAGAAGAAAGGGGACCAATTTGGAACCTACATTTCAGGCAAAAGATGACTGATTTGGACCAAGGTGGCAGCAGTGGTGATAGGGAGAAGTGTCTTATTCTGTCTCCATTTGGAACACAGAGCTGACCTTCCCAGCTGTCACTCTGAGCAGCTAGGAGAGTGGAGTTGGATTTGATTGAGTGGGGGAAGACTGTGGGAGGAATCCTTGCTCACACCTAGAAAGAAGGTATAGTAGAGCACAGCTAGCATGCTAAATTTAGATTTTTTTCCTGAACATTAAACCATCAATGTTTACCCAGACGCTAAGGATTCTTCATAATGATCACTTACGAGGGCTATGTAGTCTACTTAATTTATTTAACCTAAATTACATATTTCCTCTGTAAGTCATTTAGACTGTTTAATTTTCAAAATTGTAGATAATCCTATAATGAATATGTTTGTGTGGATGGCCTTTTCTTTCTGGAGTTTTGTCAAGACACGAATTCTCAGGAATGGGTTTACTGAGTGAAAGAGTAAAACCACTATTAACTCTTAAGACACATTAGTGAATGGTTTTCCAAAAAGATTGTGGCAATTTTTAAGGACAGCCAAAACTTAGGGTGTTGTACTTTCATCATAAAGTATGATGTGACATTAGAGGGCTTTTTTGGATTGAACCCAGGGTGTTGTATATGCTAGGTAAGTGTTCTACCACTGAGTTACATCCCAGCCCCTAAAAATATGCTACTTTGACTTTAAAAAAACATTTTTCCTATAGTGAAGTGCCCCTGGATGGGCAATGCTGTGGGCTTATGGTCTAGTTCCCTCCCAGCAGCCTAGTTTTCCTATATATGTTTGAATATGTATAGTCCAAACATGTCTTGCTGACAGTGTGTCAGCATTACACAGTGTAAAGAATGAGGACAAAGGAAATTGTCCAGAGGATAGTGGCTTGCATCTGGAGGGCGTGTGTGAGGAATAGTGACTGGGGCTTCTAGAGCCTGTAGCTGACTCACTCTGGGTGAGGCGCTTCTGTCTGCCCCATGGTCCTCCACCTGCTTTAGAGGCAGGGAGCACCCTTGTTTTGGGAGTTGGACTGAGAGTTTCTGCAGTCCCTTTCAGTCCTGAGAACCTGAGGTTCTGAGGAGTCTACACTTTCCTGCCTCTAAGGCTTTGTGGTCACCAGTTTCTTCTCATGACCTCATCTGTGATTGCTGACATTTTACGTCTTGAAGGACTGAGTCGAACGAACGTCTTGACGCTCCTTCTCTTGTCACCTGTCACCAACTGAGACTTCTGTATTTATTCCTCACGAGACCTGGAGGGCAGAGTTGGGTCTTTGAACCCACAGTGCACTTGGTGGGGACTCAGGTTGGGAATCCTTTGGTGAATTAGAAGGGCCTTGGAGGGAGGAGGTTTAGCAACCTAAGTAGCCCACACTCATCATGGCTTACTAGCTGTGCCTCAGTTTCACTAGAGGGTTGTTGTGAAGATTTAATGGACATTGGATAAAGTCATTCAGTTTATTTTATAATCATTGAGCAACAAGTATCTTGGTGTACTAGTTTCTGTTCCAGAAGCAAAGACATAAGAGATGGTCTCTGGGATTGACAGTACACATCAGGAAGGAATATGAAAGATTCTCAGAAAAGATGGGAGCCAAGTGCTCTGGACTCTGAGTGGCAGAGGGGACACATGGTTGGGTCTTGGAGGTTTACCAAGGACCGACAACTGAGTTGAAGCCAGGTTGGAATGGGACAGAGAGCATGAGGGCAGAGAAAATGGCACCAGCCTAAGTGCAAAGCGGGTGAAACATGGGGAAGCATTTGGGGACGAGCCAAGAGTCTTACTTGGCTGGTGCTCCAAGTCTTTGGGGATAGAGGGAATGATGGGAAATAGTCTGAAAAAAGACAGTGGTCATAAGAGAAAGCAAGGAAGAGTCAGAAGGCTTTAGAGGACAAGGTGTGCTCTGCTCAGAGCTGTGGCTAATGGGGCCAGCTGAGAGAAAGGACTAGAAGAGGCAGGTCACTGGTGAAAAAGCTGTTTTCATGCTCTGGGCATAAGACTGACAAGAACTGAGATAATGACCACCAAGCACAAGATAGTTAGACCCAGAGGTGCCAGTGGGGATGAGAGATGGTAGCTGTGGGAGAACACTTCAGGGCCTGGTACAGGGACAAGGCCTGAGGGGAACGGAGTGATAAAAGCCCTCCTTCCTGACAAGGCCATGGATTTAGCTGCAGTTTTGTTTGTTTTTAAAATTTCTCTCTCTCTCTTTTTTAGTGGTACTGGAGTTTGAACTCAGGGCTTCACACTTGCTAGGCAGGTACTCTACTACTCGAGCCACTCTGCCAGCCATTTTTTTATCGTTATTATTATTCTCTTGAAAGTCTTTTGCATCACTCCTCTACCACACTCATCACCTTTCTCGGTGGGTGGTAGGTAGTTCCTATTTGTATAAAACTGTTTCCAGGGTAAGGTGGACAGAGACCCGGTCTAAGTCACTCTACATCCCTTGACTCATAGCTAGGGGTCCTGTGATGGGGAGAGAATGAAGGGAAGGTGAGTGTGGACATTATTTCCTCAAAGAAGCCTTCTCTGGCCCCATGTTAGGTTGACTCAGGTCACCTGATTTTGCCTAGCCAAGATTCTTTTGAAATAAGGACTGATTGGGGAGCAGAAAAGAGCCAAAAGGGAGAACTTAAACAAGAAGAAATGTGAAAAAAACAGGAACTTATATATTATAAATCATATAGTATCTAGACGTGGATCAATAATCATCAAACTGGGCTTTGTGTTGAAAGAAAAATAGCTTCAACTGTACACATGATGTCTGACCTTCTAACCTGTACCCTGACACCACAAAGAAATGAAATATTCATTGTCAAGTCACCCTAGGAAAAAATAACCTATGTAACCTTGTATCACATCCCTCAGATTTCACATCCCACCAAGAAAAGCTTGTAAAGCATGACTTTTCCAGAAGACTGCACATCTGTTGAATGTGAAATTTGCTCTGTAATAAAACTTCCTCCCAGTTCCTTACTTTGTCTTTTCTCTTGAAACTGGAGTTTTGGACCCCAGGCCCTAACTCCTTCCTGGGCTTCCACATGTCAGGTTCATCCACTCACTCCCTATATGCCAAATAAGGAGATATGGTGAAGGCAGAGAAAGGAGTTTTATTACACAGCTCAGGACATGCTGTGGGAAGAGGCAGAGTAAGCACTCAGCTCATCTTCAGCCATCTTTGGAGTGCAGACATGAGCTATAGGTTTAAGTAGACAAAAGAACTGGGGGCAGGGGACAAAGGTATTTATAGTTAAACAGTCCCAGTGCAGGTGTGGCCTGGTTGGTCATTATCTCAGTCCTTGTTCTGGGAGAGGTTCTAGGAGTTATAATACAGAGTCATTGTCGCCTGGAAGGTAGTCTATCCTGAGAAGGCTCTGCTGTTAAGGGTAGTTTTTGTCCCCTGTCTTTCCTGGAACACAAGGTGATCGAAAAGTGACTGCAAAGAGAATGCCTTAGAGCAAAGACACATATAAAATGAAGGAGAGATGCCATGCTTTTCTCCTGCTGTTAGTTAATTGTGGGCTTGAGTAAGGAGTCGGTGTTTTTAGCAAAAGCAATTTAAGCACCTCTGACACTCTGACGGTGACAAGAACCTGGAAACACTGGGCAAAGGTTTCTGTCTGGTCTCTATGCCTCTGAGACCACTCAGCCTTCACCACTGGCAGCTTTCACTTTTTCTTCTGGATGCTTATCATGGTTTAATTACATATTTGTGAGGTACTTGATCAATGCCTGTCTTTCCTACCTGACTATATGCTCCAGCACTTGGAACAGTGAGTGGCATTTAGTTAATACTCAAAAATATTGTAGCACTAGAAAGATAAAACAATAGCACTGGGGTAAGGCTCAGGGACTGATGGCAAATGGGAATGAGGAACATTCCTTATGTCAAAAACTGGATTGTAAACTGGGTGAGGTGGTACATGCCTGCAATCCCTGCCAGTCAGAAGGCAGAGATCAGGAGGTTCGTGGTTCAAAGCCAGCTGGAGCAAATAGTTTTGGAGATCCTATCTCGAAAAAAACCCATCACAAAAAAGGGGTGGTGGAGTGGCTAGAGGTGTAGGCCCTGAGTTCAAGCCCCAGTACCCCCCCCCACAAAAACAAAAACAAAAAAACCAACAACAAAAAATCTGGATTGTGAGCTGGGCACTGGTGGCTCATGTAATCCTAGCTACTTGGGAGGCTCAGATCTGGGTGATCGCAGTTCGAGGCCAGACCCCATCTCCAAAATATCCAGAGCAAACTGAACTGGCGGTGTGGCTCAAAAGCCAGAAGCCCAGAGTTCAAACCCCAGCCCCATCACAAACACAAAAAGAAATTGGATTGTGGTGATGGGTGTGCAACTGCTTACATTAACTGTAAATCATCGAACTGTACGCTTACAGTGAATACATTTTATGACATGTAATCGCACCGCAATAAAGCTATTAAAAGTAAAAATCAATATCTGGGGGAAAGTTAGTATCTGTATCAGTGCGCGGGACTGTCAACTCCGTGAGAGGCGCCATTTCCTCCAAATCTGATTGGCGCCTAGTAAACTCGCAACCCAAGTCTCACCTACACAGTTAATGAATGAATGAAGCGGAAGCTTCCGGGAGATGCGGCACTGGACGCTTCCGGGTCGCCGCAATGCGCCCGGCTCGGCGCGTCATCGCGAGACAAGCCCGGTGATTGGCCGAGCGGGAGCGGCGCTGACATCCGGAGGCGGGTCTAGGAGGGCGGAGCCTCAGGGGGCGGGGCCACGCGGGGCGGGCTCCGGATGCCGGCTGCGCGAGCGCCTTGCTGTCGCCGAGGTGAGAGAAGCGGACGCGATGGCCGGCTCCGCGTGGATCTCCAAGGTGAGCGCTGGCAGGCCAGCGTGCGCGAGCGGGCATCGAGGGCAGGCCAGCAAGCTGGCCGCATGCTGGGCAGGGGCGGGAAGGCGGGCCCTGAAGGGGAGGCGGCGCATGGCCCGTGGGGACAGGCTGAGAATGTGTCGCGGTCTCGCGGACTCCGCGCTCCGAGGCCCGCACGCAGCGTATGAGCAGCCCTGCCCCGGTTCAGCGATCCTGAGGCTGCTACCACGTCAAGGTCAAGGCGGGGGGCGCCGGTCCTATTTCGGATGTCACCCCCAGCCTGTGCCAGGGCCCGAGCCAGGCCTAGCGCCGATCCGGGGAAGGTCACGCAGCCGCCGCGCGGGCTCCGCCGGGTCCAGCCGCTCCCGAGGCTGCGGGTCTTTGAACAGCTCCCCTCCCTAGCAGGGCCTCTGGCCCGGTACCCCGGGCGCGAGCCGTGTGAACTCTTCCCAGGTGAGGGAATCCCGCCGGGCTTGCCCTCTTGGAGCTCTTCCCAGAGTGACCTCGGCTGCTCTTGGAGCTGTTTCTGCTATAGAGGACACGGGGCATCTTACCCCTTGCAATGACTGTCTTAACGCTCATTGCACCTCCTCTTACCTTTAATTGGTGGGAATCCTGCGACCTGCAGTGAGAGCTAGCTCTTTTTGGCAGCTCAGAGGCCAGACCCGGAAAGGACCGCAGGTTATGCATGTAATTCCGAGGATCTAACCTGTCTCTGAAGACAAACTTGCTCAAGGTCACCCAGGAGGTCAGTGTCAGAGCTGGGAGAGAAACTGCAAATCCTGACTCTCAATTCCATTCTGCCTGCTTTGTGGCCAAAGTGATGTAGCAATTACAGGTTCAGTCCAGAGGAAAATAGGCCGTAAATCTCCTGTTGCTATTAATGGTTCAGTAGAAGTCTACCATAAAATCTGTCTAAAATTTGATACTACTTTTTTTTTTTCTTCAGTTCAGAGATGCACTGTTACTCAAAAGATCTCTATACTGCAATTAAGGGATCTTAGGTTTAAATCTTGGCAATGCCATTGATTGGCTGTGTGACCCTGAGCAAATTAACATCTTTGAGCCTTTTATATGCCCACCTGCAAAATAGCTATACTGTGTCATGAAATTGTTTGCCGCTTAAATAAAACAATGTAAATGAAAGTATCTAGAACATGTAGAAGAAATGCACAAGATTTAATCTGAAGCTTTCTTGGCTATCAGTATGTTTGTTTTGGCAATTATCAAGCAGTGGTTCTTGGGCATCAATTATTGTGGTGTCTTTTTATTTTTTGGTGATGCTGGGGCTTGAATTCAGTACTTCCCACTTGGTAAGCAGGTGCTCTATCACTTGAACCACTCCGCTAGCCCTTTTTTGTGTTGAGTACTTTCCAGATAGGGTCTCTCAAACTATTTGTCCAGCTGTCCTCAAGTCTTAATCTTCCTTGATCTCTGCCTCTCCAGTAGCTAGGATGACAGGTGTAAGCCACTGGTGCCTGACTAATTAATTGCTGCATTTTTTGCTGAGTAATTAGACTGCTATGTTACTGTCTTCAGACTCACATTTGTTTGGGATGGCAACTGTTATGTCACATTTGCCTCTAAAAGTAAAGTAACCTGTGTCACTGTTAAAACAAGTCAATTCATTAGGTTTACACTTATCTGTGATTCATCATTGGTAGGTACATTAAACCTTCAGAATGAGGAACTGAAGCTAATAAAGAATGTGCTTGGAGATTTGTTTTTTGCCCTTGGTGTGATCGGCAAGCAAAAGCCCTCCTAGTGGGAGTTCAGAAAGTGTCAGCCTGTGCAGTCAGAAGATGAGGTTCTCCTGATACTCCCTGTGACTCCCTGTGGGACCTGTGGCAGAATGATCTGACCTCTGCGATAGTTTTTTTCCCTTTAGGGATTGGTGCTGAGCAGATGCCAGTTTCTTTTTCTTTGAGACAGTCTCACTCTGTAGCCCAAGCAGGACTTGAAATCAGGATCCTCCTGCTTCAGCCTCTGGAGTACTGGGATTACAGGCCTGTGTCACCACACTGATCTGGGATGACAGTTTGAATCAGAGCACTTCCTCTTCTTTGGGAAAAAAAAAAAAAGGCATCTGCAGCTTAAAAAGCATTTCACATAGGGAAAATAGAGGGTTTCTAAAGATTTTTATGGCTCTAAAATACTATAATGAGCCATTTTCCCATTAGCAAGCATTTATTGAGTGGTGCTACCCTACTTCCAACACCATATTATATGTTTTTACAAAAATTAAATGACTTATTTTTTTGGCGGTACCTGGGTTTGAACTTAGGGCCTCACTTATATGTTTTTAAGTTGGAATATGAAGGTAAAAAGGAAATGAGCAGCTATGGATTAATGATGGCTCCGGGCCTAAGCTAGAAGTACAGTATCCAGTGAGTCTGGTCTTAGTTTTCTCATCTGAAAACGTCTCTCCCCTTTGGTTTTTATACCCAATTTCTTCCTTCTATCTTTCCTTCCTTCCTTCCTTCCTTCCTTGTCCTTCTCCTTCTCCTTTCTTCTTCTTCTTCTCGTGGCAGTAGACTTTGAATTTAGGGTCTCGCACTTGCTAGACAAGCATCTACCATTTGAGCTACACTTCCAGCCCTTTTTTGCTTTAGTAATTTTTTAGGGTCTTGCATTTCTTCCCAAGACTAGCCTCAGATTGTGATCCTCCTATCTATGCCCCCCATGTAGCTGTGACTATAGGTATGCACCACTACATTTGGCTTATTGGTTGACATGGGGGCTTTGAACCACAGTCCTTCTGCTTTCTGCCTCCTAGGTAGCTGGGATTATACTACTCCTAGTCCAATTTCTTTTATATTTATTATAATGTAGTATGACTTTGTACCATTTCTCAAGAACTGAGTTATTAAAGTTGAAATAACCTTTTAAAATTCGTATTTGTAGTATATAATAGTGTTAATTGGAAAATAAATGTGCCAATTGTAATATCTCACAGTTATGGGATTACTGGATGACTTTTCTTACATCTCTAGCCCCAGAAAATTAATGCTAATGAGCACATTGCCTTATAACCAGAAGAAATAGTTTATTTAAAGCTTTATCCTACATGGCATGGGCATCAAATGGTACTAAGTAAATGTCCGTAGATTATATTATAAAGTGTAATTTTCAGTGCTCATAAGAGAGGAGTGGATGTAACATATGACTGAAAGAGCACTGGCCCACAAGTGCTCTTGGGCCATAGAGCGTGGTTTCTATTTTGCTAGTCTTTGTGTGACCTTACACAAATCCCTATTCTTTGGGTCCATTGCCTCCACCTGTAAACAAGTGACTTGTGCTCTGGATTTCCTAAGAACCCTGCTGGCTCTAAACTAGTGCTAATTTTCTTAGAAGACCTATCTCATGCCCCCCCCGCCCCATATTGACCTGGTAGTTAGGAATGTTGACATCAAACCATCCAGCTCATCAGAGGAAAACTAGTGTTTGAGCTAAAGGATAGTTTCATTCTATCTTCAACACCTTTTGACAACTTAAGTTCATGAAATTGACTTTGAAAAAGTACAGGACTTAAATTTTTAGATCACAGGTTAAAAACATCAAATATTTAGATTTTCAAATCTGAGCGAGTTAACTACATTGAGCTAAAATGTGAAAAAAGTCATCTTTCATCTTTCGAAGTTCCCAGATAACACTGTGCAAGTTTGCAGCCTTGCCAGCTGTTGGAAATGATTTCACTTCCACTGTTTATTAATGGGGTTTAATTCTTTGCATGACTTTTCTCTGTTGACATTAATGTAGGTCTCTCGGCTGCTGGGGGCAGTCCACAACTCAAAACAGGTGACCAGAGGTTTTGCTGATGGTGTGAGTATGACTGTCTTTTATTTTTTCCTTTTAGAAGTTTCTCAAGAAAGATGCTCTAATACATTTATAAAGAGGCATTTAATTTCTGTTTTTTAAAACCAGGGGAAATTGGCCATACTTCTAATGTATGTGAGAATTATTGACTAACAAATACACAAATCTATTAGGTCATGTGCACATTTAAGAGAATTATATTTTAGCTGGCTGTATAAGCCTGTCACATTAATATCTTGAAGGAGCCTTGATAAAAATATAGAGAAATTACCCCTGAGCCTGTTTCTCTATTTCACAATCCCTTTTCGATAAGATGGTTGTTTTCACCCCAGCTCCAGTGGCTCACTTGAGCAATCCTAGCTACTTGTGAGGCTGAGATCAGCAGGATCTTGGTTTGAAGCCAGTCCTGGGCAAATAGTTCATGAGACCCCCCCACCCCCATCTCCAAAATAACCAGAGTAAAATGGGCTGGAGGTGTGGCTCAGAGCACCTGCTTTGCAAGTGCAAAGCCCTGAGTTCAAACCCCAGTCCCACCAAAAAAAAAAAAGAAAAAAAAAGGTTGTTTTAACAATAGTACAAGTTGAGAGAAAATTGTTGAGAAGCTTCAAAACCTGCTTTGCATTTTTATTTTGTGACCGTCCCTAAAAACAGTAGATTGGTTACCAGTTAGGCATTCCTCAAACATTGTAAGCCGTCTGGGCTTATACTTTCCTTATACAGTCTTAATAGACTATCATAGTGGATTTTCTACTGCTCATTAAATCTGCTGCTTTTAGAATTCCCAGCATGGAGCTCTGTGCTTTAAAAGCTGATCCTACATTTTTGGGACATTCTAAGACTGTGGACCAGTAGTTTCCTATTCATTTTTATTTTATCCCCTTTTTTGCAGAATCTATTTTGGATTTCATAATTCCTGTACCCACATAGAACATTTTATGCATGATGAATTTATTTATCCCTCTATTTGCCTTCTGAAGTAAGAAGAAAAAAAAATAGACTTTTCAGTGTGATGGCCTGAGAACATTTATTACATGTTGGGTGAACAGGAAGGAGAAGCCAAAGGGTTCTTTTGGCCCTGCTTATGCAAAAAAAAAAAATGCAGGATAAGGCTTGCACTGGAAGCTCAGGGATGCTAAGCTAGCATTTCAAATACATTCTGACAGTGGGTGGATAAGATGATCAGAGCTCTCAGCTTTTAGTTCATTTTCAGGCTATCTACTTTTTAAAAATTAGCCTGACAGAAGAGAGATATTAATTTCAAAAAATATTTCTTCAACTGTACAGAAAAATTGAGAAATAAATTAATCTGCCTGTCTAGGAGGTATCATTGTAAAGGCTGAAAACCAGGGAAAGTTGAATTAGTGTTTTTTGGTTTTTTTTTTTTTTAGCTCAAGCAACTGGTGCCGAAAAGGGGCAGGTAGAATAAAGTCCCCCAAAATACAATGTATGGAGAAAGAGGATCTGAACATTATCTTAACTAATTTAAATCCTCTGACTTCTCCTGTTACATATTTTCATTCCTCTGTTTGAAATGCTGGCTTCATTTTGTCTGAAGTCTTTAGAACAAACAATTGGTGCTACATCAGAAACACACTTACTGTCATCCTAACTGTAACTGGTCTTTGCAAGTCTGACCCATGTGCTATTCTTACTGGCTACAATTCGCATTGCTGAGCTTATTTTAGGTTACATTTATCATTAAAGAGCCAATTTTACAGAGGAACTAAGAAAACTGGAGGCAGTATGTTGATAAGAAGTCTGATTTTCTCTGAGTGTCAAAACAGACCTCCAGCATTCTGAAAATGTGTCTGAAAGAGCTTTGCAAACCTGAAGAAGTTGCAGGAGGAACTTTTTAGATCACATGGACAGGAAAACTCTTGCCTTCACAAGGAGCTTTCTGAATTTCAATGTGAGAACATGGTTGAAATGTTTTTGCTGTCTTTGGTTTTACAGACTTGAATCAATTGGTCTCTTCATAGCTTGTCTGAAGGGAAGGGATTTTTCTCAGAAGAAATAAAATATTAATTTCAGAAAAGGTTTCTTCAACTGTACAGAAAAATTGAGAATAATTAATCTGCCTGTCTAGGAGATATCATTGTAAAGCTGAAAGAAATGTCAACTGGGAAGTCTGCTCAGTGGTTTATTTTTGTTTTATCTAAAGAGCATCACTTGAGTTATTTTTTAAACTTCTGAATTCAGGTAAAGAGTAAGATTGTGGAGTCTTTTGTGTGTTGATTTCTGCTCTTCTTCGATGGACTTGGGGAGGGGGTGGAATTGTCTATTTTCTTAACAGCATATGGGTCTTTCTGAGATGCTTGTATGAAGTGGATTTCTCTGTCAATGATGACCTTTCTTAAACCTTCCAAAACAAATTCTTAGTGTTTTTTTCTGGTGATTTTAGGTTCAGACAATAACTTTAATTCCAGGAGATGGAATTGGCCCAGAAATCTCAGCTTCAGTTGTGAAGATTTTTGATGCTGCCAAAGTAAGTGAATATAACAGATCCATTTAATAGTAACTCACAGAAAAGTCTTCCTAGCCCATTGGAGTCTGGAGCTCAGGATGAACTGCACAAAGTTTCTGTGAAGTTGGTATGGTTGAGTGTTTTGTTTTTTTTTTAAGACAGAATCTTGCTATATAGCCTTGGCCAGCTTCAAACTCACTATATAGTGCAGGCTGACCTTGAACTTGTGATCCTCCTACCTCTGCTTCTCAGGTGTATCGCTGTGCCCAGCCAGATCTAATTATTATTATTATTATTAATTTTTGATACTGGGGTTTGAACTCAGGGCCTTCACTTTGAGCACCTGCATATTCCTACAACTTCTCAGAGTCCTGTGGGCAGTGACTGAGGAGACAAGCCATGCAGGAAACACTCCTCAAAGGGGGAAAAAATATATATGTATGTGTGTATGTATGTGTGTATGAAATTCTGAAGGGATCTTTTTTTGGTGGTGCTGGAAATTGAACCTGGGGCCTCCCACATGGTAAGCATGTGCTCAAATACTGAGTTGTAACCCCATCCCCTTAAAAGAATCTTCTTAGAGTTTTTTTGTTTGGTTTGGTTTTTTTTGGAGGTACTGGAGTTATGAACTCAGGGTCTCACGTTTTCTAGGCAGGTGCTCTACCACTTGAGCCACTCTGCGAGCCCTAAAAGAATCTTTTTTAAAAAAAGTTTTCTGATGATATTGTCACTAAGAATGGGCCATTATTGCTTCTAACAGCCCAGTTGTCAATTCAGGTAGATATTTAAAAGTACTTTTGTTTGGGGGATTTAGGGAGCTTGAACTTTGACCTTTTGCTTTATTGCTATTTATAGCTGCTAGGCCAAGTAATATGTAAGATTGAATAAGTGGCTGTTAAGATACCAATAGCTGTAAGTTGAGGAACAAAATGTATTTACATTATATGAACACTGTTCTCCAAAAAAAGTTTTTTTTTTGGTGGTTCCCTTGAACTCAGAGCCTCACACTTGCTAGGCAGGCACTCGACTACTTCAGCCACTCCACCAGCCCTATTTTTTGTTGGGTATTTTCAAGACAGGGTCTTTTAAACTGTTTGTCCAGGCTGGCTTTGAACCTCAATCCTCCTGATCTTGAGACGACCCTCCTAAGTAGCTAGGATTACAGGCATGAGCCACCATGCCTGGCCCTATGTGAATTTGTGATTGAAACTCCTACAAAGAAGGTGATGCTTACAAAGTGGCAGGTTCTCCAAACAAAATGCAATGCGACAGCTCCCTTACCTGTAAGCACCTTTAGAACAAGAACCATGTCTTAACCCTATGCTTCTGTCCCTAGGATGTGCTCAGTCAATGTTGGCTGGCAAATGTGTGCGCACACATATGAAGGATGTAGGTGGAAAGAAAGGGGATACTAGTTTATACTTTAAACTTATACCTTCGTAGGGTTTATGTATATAGGTAGGTAGATTTTTTTTTTCTTTTACTAGTGTTCAAACTCAGGCCTCTCTACCACTTGAGCCACACCCCCCAGCCAAATAATTCTTATTTTTGAAAGTTCTTTTTCATTGAGGTAAAATTTTCATACTAGACAGTTTACTCACTAAAAGCACAGTTTAAGTCAGTGGTTTTTGGTATATTCACAGAGTTGTATAATCATCCATCCAGTCTAATTTCAGAACTTTTTTTGTGTGTGTGGGTGGTACTGGGATTTGAACTCAGGGCCTACACCTTGAGCCACTTCACTAGCCCTTTTTTGTGATGGTTTTTTTCAAGATAAGGTCTCATGAATTATTTGCCTGGACTGGCTTAGACCCTCAATGCTCCTGAGTAGTTGGGATTACAGTTGTGAGTTGCTGACGCCTTGCTAATTTCAGAACATTTTTATCACCCAAAAACACATCCTACATCAAATTGTAGTCACTCCCCATTCCCTCTTCCATCCCCCGCCCCTGCTGTTTTCCTTCCCTAGCCCTTTGCCTATTCTGGATGTCTCACAAGTAGACTCAGAATGTATGGCCTTTTTACAAAAGTGCACGTCTTGCACTCAGCTTGGAGTTTTCAAGGTTATCGGTGTATCCGCTGTGAAGTGATCATGTGAACATGATTCTCCATTCTGTATCAAATTCTAGTTACAGCCATCTTAAGAGTTCTTGTAAAGAAAGTCCTTGGCAGGCGGCAGCTGGGAGTGATGCTGGGCCAGGGTAATGTGGACAACCCCTCTGGGCATGCTACGCAGTCATCCCCTGTGTGCCAGGAACTTTCTGGACCTTACTGTACTTGTTTTTACCAGTTGCATCCAGACTTGAGGAAATTGTTTATTGAGTGAGTAGAGTCTTGTTTAAGTCCAGTTCATGGTGCTCTGGTTGGCCTCTAGGTACCTATCCAGTGGGAGGAGCGGAATGTCACTGCCATTCAAGGACCAGGAGGAAAGTGGATGATCCCGCCAGAAGCCAAAGAGTCCATGGATAAGAACAAGATGGGCTTGAAAGGTAGCACTGAAGTGGAGGCGATTACTGAGTTCCACTCTAGGGATCACATTTTTTTTTTTCTTCCCGGTTCTGGGGACCAAACTCAGGGCTTTGCACTTGCTAGGCAAGCGCTCTTCCACTGAGCTAAGTCCCCAACCCCTAGGGATCACATTTTCAAAAGGCCATGTGTGTGAGCTAAATAGAGCTTGGAAGCCTATTAAAGTAAAGCCATCCTTTGATGGAGTGACCACTCATAGTTAGGTGCTTTGTTTTTTATTTATTTATTTTGGGACAGGGTCTTGCCTTGTAGCTCAGGCTGTCCTTGAACTCTTGATCTTTCTGCCTCAGCCTCCCAAGTGCTGGGATTATAGGCCTGCACTACTTTGCCTAGCTCAAGATGCTTTATTTTTATTTGGGCATTCTTTTTCAAATCCCAGTAAAACCATTAAAGCATTACTGGCAATACCAACTGACAGTATCTTTTTGACTTCCACTATATTTATATTTTATGTAGTTTTCACTTTTTTTTTTTTTTTGGAGTTCTGAGCCTCACGCTTGCTAGGCATGCACTCAAACCAACCCTGTTTTGTATTGGGTATTTTCAAGATTGGGTCTCCAGAACTCTTTGGACTGGCTTTAAACCGAGATTCCCGAATCTCTGTCTCCTGAATTGGTAAGGTTATAGGTGTGAGCATATAACTTTTCACTTTTATTTTTTTGGTACTGGGGCTTGAACTCAGGGACTACATCTTAAGCCACTCCCCCAGCCCTTTTTTTGTGAAGTGTTTTTTTGAGATAGGGTCTCTCAAACTGTTTGCCCAGGCTTTGAACCATGATCCTCCTGATCTCTGCCTCCTGAATAGCTAGGATTACAGACGTGAGCCACCAGCACCTGGCCAGTTTTCACATTTTTAATTATTATTTTAATATATATTTAAGGTTGTGATTCAAAATTACTAACGTATGACATTAAAATTTGGCACAGGCTTTAAAACCATCAACAGATCCAAGTTCAAATCTCATTTCTGCCACTTAATGGCTGGGAAGCTTGGGCTAATTTCTTACTCTTTTGGGATTTTTTTTTTTTTTCCTTCATTTTTAAATGACCCTCTGGGTTGATAGTGAAGATTAGATGACATGAAGCGTCTGATGCAGTGCTTGGTGCTCAGGAAGTTCTCAAGATGAGACACGAAGTTAATGTTCTAGAAGAATTCTGTGACTGTGCTTTCTTCCTTTTCCTGGATCTGAGGGAGGGTGAGTTTAGAGGCAGAACGCATTTTACAGGAACACAGGTGGGTTTGTAGTCACATGTGCATCCAGACTGTATCCCATTGTCACCTAGGCATTCTTTATTGCAGGACCTTTAAAGACCCCAATAGCAGCTGGTCACCCATCTATGAATTTATTACTGCGTAAAACCTTTGACCTTTATGCCAATGTCCGACCATGTGTCTCAATCGAAGGTTACAAAACCCCTTACACAGATGTAAATATTGTCACCATTCGAGAGAACACGGAAGGAGAATACAGTGGGATTGAGCACGTGGTACGTTCCCTTCAGATATTTCTTTATTCCTGGTTGGGTTGCTTTCTGTGCTCTTGGGACAGTTGTTCAAATTCTCAGTTGTACATGTCTCCCCAGGACAGATCAGTTTTACCTCAGGGAGCAGTTGTGGGTATTTGTGTTGGTGCTGGGTCTCTGCCAGCCATACTCAGTGGTTGCCACACCGGCATGGTGTGGGTTAGGGAACAGGCCTGCAGAATCTGCCCTCTGCAGTTTGAGTTTCCTACTGCATAGATACGCTCCTTGGGCAGTGACCACCTGTGTTCCTCAGGTTTGCTTATCCGTGTGGTGGGCCTTGACATTCCTACCTGGTAGGGCTGGGGCTAATGTTGACTCCGTGACACTGTGTGATGCTGGCCTTGCTGATACCAGGGTGTGGTCTACACACCGCCGGCTGACTGGTACCGAGGTGTGGCCACGCCCTGTCTAGTAAGGCGGGGCTTCCTTCTTTCAGATTGTTGAGGGGGTCGTGCAGAGCATTAAGCTCATCACTGAGGAGGCGAGCAAGCGCATTGCGGAGTTTGCCTTTGAGTACGCCAGGAACAACCGCCGCAGCAACGTCACCGCGGTGCACAAAGCCAATATCATGTGAGTCCTGTTTTTCTTGTCGTGGGGAAAGCGGTGACGGGGCATCTCTCGCTTCTCTCCGGCTTGCGCAGTGGTTCCTAGCATCCCTGGAAAAGAACCACAGGCCAGTCAGAAAGTCTGGCATATCTCCTGTTTGCTCCCTGGGTGAATGACGAGAGCAAGTGGGGAGAGGCAGGAATTCAGGTCCTGGAAGTGAAGGAGGCACTGAGGGTTATCAAGAAAGGAAGCTGGGGAGACGCTGAGTCTTGGGTGACATGGATAGTTGGCAGAAGTCATGTATTTATGTTTCACAGGTGCAAGAATCGGTGTTTCTGAAATGGCCATGTGTTCAGGGCCTTAAAATAGTCAACACTAATATCATCTGATGTGTTCCTCTAGCAGTTTAAATTTTCCTCATGCCCATTTTATTAAGGCTTTCTCTGTGAGTGTACAAAAAAACAGTTTTCCTAATCTAAGAAAAGTATTGAACATGCAAAATAATAAAACCACTGAATAATTAAGCTAACCTTCTAAAGTAGTTTTAATAAAATTAATGGATATTTCTTAGTTCTTGCTGCACAATACTATAAAATTCTAGTCTCTTTCTGTTATGAGCAAACTATTTGTTAGTTTTACTCTTGTGCTTCCAGAAGGTTTTCCCCCCAAATTTTCAACTTGAATTTTGTTAGCTGTCTAAGAAAAAATTTTACTATAATTGAAATCAGATCTCTTGGCTTCTTGAACTTTTCTTTCTGCAAGTCTCTGTTTTCAACAGTTTTCATTTGATTAAACACAGGCGAATGTCAGATGGTCTTTTTCTGCAAAAATGCAGGGAAGTTGCAGAAAACTGCAAAGATATTAAATTTAATGAGATGTACCTTGATACAGTATGTTTGAATGTAAGTATGTATTGATACTTATCTGTTATTTTTTGTGGTAAACACTGTGTGCCTGTTAGGTACTCAGTTTTTGATTGCTAAATGCAAAAATGTATTCCTTGTAGATGGTACAGGATCCATCCCAATTTGATGTTCTTGTTATGCCGAATTTGTATGGAGACATCCTTAGGTGAGTCTGGCTGCACCCTTACTTTTGGCCCCCAAATGACTTACAGCTTAAAGTTTTCAATCAAGTATTGTGAGCTATGGCGCTTGTCATGAGAGGTGAGCTCAGTGCTGACAATCAGGTGTTGGAATCAGTGATTGCATGATGGATGTGCTGTTCCCGTGAACCCTGGGCTATTGTGACCCAGTCGTTAGTTCATTCTTCCCATTTTTCAGATGTTTTATTTATTGTTTGGTTGATTTTGGTATGTTCAATGTAAGTAGGTGGCATTTCCACAATTTTTATGTATTTATTTGATACTGGGGTTTGAACTCAGGGCCTACACTTTGAGCCACTCCACCAGCCCTTTTTTTTGTGAAGGGTTTTTTTGAGATAGGGGCTTGCAATCTATTTGCCCGGGGCTGGGCTTCAACCTGTGACCATGTTCCTTCTGATCTCTGCCTCCTGAGTAGCTAGGATTATAGGCGTGAGCCACCAGCACCCAGCTTATTTATTTATTTATCTCTCTCTCTCTCTCTTTTTTTCCCCATTGTTGTGCTGGATGGGGTACATTGTGACATATACAAAAGTTCTTACAATATAAGAACTTACAATATCATAGTTGAATTCATCTCTTCCATAATTCTCCTTTATTCCCCCTCCCCATCACCATTTTATTTTGTGTCCTTTCTCTCACTCTTCCTCTTTTCCTCCCTTCCTTCTCTCTCTCTCCCCCTTTCATTTTTACCATACTTTATTTTTCTTTCCCTGTTTTCCTCCCTTTCCCTTCCTTCCTTCCACTAGCCAAATAGGTTGTTGGCCAGATGGTGATTTCCTAAGCCCACCATTTCTTTGCATTTATTAGTTGGCATTCTGCTTCAAGGACAAGCTCTCTTTCCCATTTATCGTCTTTGTGTTTATCTCCGTCAGGGTAGACTTTGCTTTTCTGTTTTATTTGGTTGCATGTCCATAACTAGCGTCACTTGTCTTAATATTCAGATTGTCCTAACTTGGCCAGGGTTGCTTCCTTCCCGTGGCTCCTGTGTCCTTTGTCTTGACCCTTCCTTCTTTGGGCCTTGCTTTGCTTTCTGGCACAGTAAGCTGCTCTAGGCTTGTCTGCATTTTCTGAACCTCAGCCCTGGAATCAGACAAGGAACCCTGGCTCCTTTTAGTGAAAAATGGTATTTAAATACTAAAATCTGAGTGCTAGGTGAAATGTCTTCTTTTTCAAAATATCCTTTGAAATGCTTTTTGTCCCCAGTGACCTGTGTGCGGGATTGATTGGAGGTCTTGGTGTGACCCCAAGCGGCAACATTGGGGCCAACGGGGTTGCCATCTTCGAGTCGGTAAGGAGCCTGACACCCAAAACAGAGTTCAGGTTGGAACAGCCAAACTCAGAAGGGCTTCTTGTTTTGTTTTGTTTTCCAGTACTGGGGCTTGAACTCAGGGCCTACACCTAAAGCCACTCCACCAGCTGGTTTTTGTGATAGGATTTTTTGAGATAGGGTCTCAAGAATTATTTGCTCAGGCTGATTTTAAACCATGATCCTCCTGATCTCTGCCTCCTGAGTAGCTAAGATTACAGGTGTGAGCCGCTGGCACCTGGCTCAGAAGGGCTATTTGTTACACAGGTTTTAACTCTGGAGTTTTTGCAAATTGTCAAAGAAAGTGACACTTTATTTTTATATGGCCTTGGCTTAATTATTCATTTCTTTCCAGATAACTAATTTATTTTGGGATAGGGTTCACTATGTATGCTTTGTTTCACCAAGACCTTATTTTTTTTTTTTCTAAATTTATGTCAGATAATTGCACACAGTAGGTTTTAGTAAATGCTTTTTATTTGTGAGGAAGGAGGATTGAGACCCCAGTGTCGTCAGACGAGGGCTACTTGTTCTTTTCTTTCTTTCAGTGATACCAGGGAGGAACCCAGGACCTTGTCTTTGCTGAGCACACGCTCTACCACTGGGTTACAGCCCGGGGTGAGGGCCGCAGGTTCTGTCTCCCAGCTGCTGATGCTGCTTTCCCCAACACATAGGTTCATGGGACGGCCCCAGACATCGCCGGCAAGGACATGGCAAACCCCACAGCCCTTCTGCTCAGCGCTGTCATGATGCTGCGCCACATGAAGCTTTTTGACCATGCTGCAAAAATTGAGGCTGCATGCTTTGCCACAATCAAGGATGGAAAGGTACCGCAGTCTTGACCTGCATGTGCTGTGTAAAACGTGCCTTTTCTATGTGTTTTATCTGCATGAAGGGAACAGGTAATATTTTCAGGAGAACTGAAGGATTTGGTGTTGAACAAGGCTTCTTTTTTGTGTGTGTGTGGTACTGGCACTTGAACTCAGGGCCTACACCTTGAGCTATTCCACCAGCCCTTTCTTGTGATGGTTTTTTTGAGATAGGGTCTTGAGAACGATTTGCCTGGGCTGGCTTCAAACCGTGATCCTCCTGATCTCTGGCTCCTCAGTAGTTAGTTTACAGGTGTGAGCCACCAGTGTGCCCGGCTGAACAGGGATTATTAATGTGAGCTCCCTGAACTTCAGGGAGTGCACACACGTATACATTTCTGGGGTGAGGATCCAAATATTTTATCTGAAAAGATAAGAAGTGCTGGTGGACACCAGTGCTCAGTGGAAAGAGCAGTGGTCACCAGAGGCAACCACAGGCCCAAGTGTGATCTTGGCCAAGTCCTTTTCTTAGCAAAATGTCTTCAAAGCTGGCTTCTTCATTTCCCACCCCCACCCCTACTCCTGTAGTACTGGGGCTTGAACTTAGGGCCTCACACTTGCTACTGCTTCCAGCCCTGTTTTTTATGTTGGGTATTTTTGAGATAGGGTCTTCACGAACTGTTTTCCCGGGGCTGGCTTTGAACCTCAATACTCCTGATCTCTACCTCCTGAATAGCTAGGGTTATAGGTGTGAGCCACCAGGGCCCAGCTGGCCCTTTTGTTTTGAAAAATGTTACACTTGAGATTACTTCTTAAGGCTAAAATATAAGAAATGCAAGCTTGGATTTTACAGCCTGACAGTCACTTTATTGGGCATATGGTCTTGTTTGTTATTTATTCTGAGCTACTTTTTGGGAAGTTATGTTCTAGAGCCTGGCAGAAAGACAAGTTATACAGTAGGCCCTCTTAATTGTGTAGGATGTACATGCAAAAGAGAATTAAAGATTGAGTCTGTGTGCTATAAAGAGGAGTGAGCTGGTAGAAAACAGTTTGGTTTGTAGGGAAACTTTTTCTCCTAAAGAAGGAAACTTAAGATTTAGTCGTTTAAGTATTTTTTGGCATTTGCTTCCAAGCCTCCAAAAATAGATCCGAATGTCTTTAAGCTTTTTTTTTTTTCTTTTGTAAGTTTTTTAAGCTTTACAAATTCCCCATGGGCTTTATGAAACCTCATCTGTAATTGCTTTCCTTTAAATATATATAATCAACCAATATATTCTTAGAGTTATCGTATGAGCAAAGGGAAATTTTTGGAAAACCTCCCAGCTCCCCTGTGTAGTGGGAATGCCTTATTCTTTGCGGATTGTTTTTGTACACATTATCTCATGGAATTTCACAGTTTTCTCCAGGTGGGTGGTGTGTGGTGAGACTTTGCTTTGAAATGATGAATTAAATGAAAGTTGGAGGAGGCAGGGACTTTGCTGACTTGACATCTCACTGAGGGCTTTAAGTAAAAATTTCCTTGCTTTAATTTAGTGTGTGGCTACATTTTTGGTTTTGTTTTTTTCCTTTTCTCAGAGCTTAACAAAAGATTTGGGAGGCAATGCAAAATGCTCAGAATTCACAGAAGAAATCTGTCGCCGAGTAAAAGATTTAGATTAAAGCTTGTGCTGATGGTAGTTGCTGCAGTCACTCCTGATGGCTCTTTAGACCATCCCCATAACGTCTGCATCTGGCTCGCTTGTTTCTTGACAGTACGTTTTTAGATCTGCCTTTTCTTAACAAAATCCATGCAGGTCATGTCCCTAGGCCTGCTCTCAAAGGACTTTTTCCAAGTGCTTGTTTTATTTATTAAATGTCTATTTGGTAAACATTTTTTTTGTAAACTGTAAGAGGACTGTATCATTTGCTGTCGTTAACCATTTTACACTTCAGTTAAAGTAGTTTTTCCTCAGCTGTAAATATGATACAGAATTAATAAGAAAAAACATCTAACTTTTTAAACACATTCCCTGTTTTCTTTGGTTTATGAAAAATATGGGAATAAAACAGAATATTGACATAATAGCACAAAATGACATTCTTATAAAATCAAATGGGCACAAGAAAAATTTCCTGGAAAAGTTCACATCAAAAATAGCAGAAATTATGTATTTCTTAGTGATATGGAAAATAAAGACATATCCGTCCTTTCCATGAAGTATTATGAATAAAAACTTCAGATCCAAGAAATATGTAATGAGCAATGTAATTTTTGTTAATAAGATATAGGTGATATATTGGGTATGAAGTCCCAAACACATTGTATTCAATTATTTTGTTAGCTGGAGATTTACTATTCTTTGCAAGAGCTCTTAATGAAGTAAAGGGTGGTAATCCTTTCTCACTGGACACCCTGAGAGCATCACAGTTGCCAAACCTCGAGCACCTGCTTCCACCCTGGGTCGAGCTGTGGAGATGCTGGGCTCCAGCAGGTGTGCAGGTGCGGAGGGCCTAGTCACTGTGTTTTGGCTGCAGTTGAGGAACCCAGGACCTGGCTGTTGATTTTATATCTCAGTGGCCTCCCCTTCCCCTTCCCCCAAGCACCAGATCGCTGCCCAGTGCCCCAGTCTTGCCAGCAGAAGATGCCATGCAGGGGCTGGAGCTGACTGGGCCTGAGCCACCTCACAGAATGAGGCCACCTGAGGGTCCATCAGATGTGACCTTCCTTCTCCACCCCCTCCCCTCTGCCGCAGCAAGAGCAGTTACCCTTTGGCCCCACACCAGAGGCACCTCTTGTCCTCCCTTGGCCCTTGTGTAAATTTTCAAACCTGTGGCTTTATATAATGAAGCCAGGTCACAAGGGGATTTCTTAACATATATTCCTGTCTGGGTCATTTTTTTTAAGCTTGTAACCAGACTCTGAATCATACGTATTTTACTTGGTTTAAGCTGCTGCTTCCTGTCTTACTGGATTGTGCTGATTATCAGTGGCTTTTGGGTTCACAGTAATAAAGAATTTAAAAAAAGACTGATGTATGCCTTCTCTGCCTATTTCCTAGCCCGGTGCCTTAAGGTATTTTGGCTCAGCTTGTTGCTAAGAATGGCTGGTTTTACTAGAATGTTCCACTTGAGCCTGTCCTGAACCTTTGTTTATTCCAGGGCACCAGTGGTGAACTAATAGTTACTTGTACCTCTTTATACAGTCCTGTGAGTTAAATACTAAGTCCTCTGTACTGCCTGTTGAGTTGACAAAAAAAAAATCAGGTACTTGACAGTTTTGTTAAAAGGTTTAATCAAATTACACATTAAATACAGCCCCATGGGAGGCAGCGGTTTTATTAAGCATCAGATCAGCTGGCGTGTGCAAGGTGGAGGAATAGGTAGCAGTCGGCAGTGTCTGAGCAGATCCCAGTGTAAATCAGGCCATCAGGTGAGCTGGGACTTTCTGTCACTGCAGCAGCACACACTAGCAGGAATCATCATCCCCCTCCCTCTCCTCCAACAGCCTGCCACTAGTTGACCTGTTACGTGAGCTAGCAGCTTGTTAAATCTACCTGGATCTAAGGCCAAAAATGATTGACCTCTCAGTTCTGGAAGATCTCATTTGACACACGAACCCAAAGTGATACTTAAATAGAATTTAAACTACCCACAGGGGAAGCTTCTCAGATGCCAGTATTGGGCCCCCACCTGGGGATAGAACGGACTTGCCAGAAATCCCATGCCCAGGCTGGAGAGAACCCAGAGCTCAGGAGGGTGCTTGAAAGGCTGCCAGCTATCTATTCAGTACAAACCACAGGACAGCCCCTCACTACTTTTTTTGCTCTTGGTAAAAGGAATCAATGATATCTTTGTATTTCTCCAGAACTGTGAGTCGTTTCAGTTTCATGGTCGGACCTAAAAGAGACATTGGAAGAAACAATTGAGGCCCAGGCTTGGAGAACTGTGAAAAGGTGTGAGGTAAAGACAGAATTGGTGAGACCCAGAAGTCAGGAAGTAAGCCAGGCAAGCAGGTCAAGCCACGTGGCCAGTCTCCCAAGGCAGTGGCTCTTCTCTTGGCATTACACCACTCAAGCAATCCCCTCCCAGTGTACCAGGGTTGGACTGTGTGAACGACCAATAGAAAACAGAGGAAGTGATGGGCTGTCACTTCTGAGACTAGAGATGACTGTAGTTTTAGGGCTGGGGGTGTGGCTGAAGTGGTAAAGCATTTGCCTAGCAAGCACAAGGCCCTAAGTTCAAACCCCATTACTACCAAAAAGAAAAATGACTACATTTTTTTTCAAATACATAGTATGGTGTGTTCACCTTGCCCTTGACCTGTCCCCATTCCTGATTATCAATTTGTTTGTGACTCTGTCCCTTCAAAGAACACACTCACGTCTTGGTATCCATGGGGGATTGGTTTCAGGACCTCCTTCAGATCCTAAGTCTGAAAATGCTCAAGTCCTTTCATAAAATGGTATAGAATTTGCATATAACCTGTGTACATCCTTCTGGATTGCTTATTATACCAAATACAATATAAATGCTAGGCAAATCGGTGTTGTACTGTATTGTTTAGGGAATAATGATCAGAAAATGCCTGTACTAATGCTTTTTTTTTTTTCTTGGTGGGCTTGGGGATTGAACTCAGGGCTTCATACTTCCAAAGCAGGTGCTCTACCACTTGAGCCACACCTCCAGTCCGTCCATTTTGCTTTGGTTATTTTGGAGATGGGGGTCTTGTGAACTATTCAAACTGCAGTCCTCCCAATGTCAGCCTCCCAAGTAACTAGGATTGGAGGCATGAGCCACTAGTGCCCAGCACTGATAAGATTTAAAAAAATTTTTTTTTGATTCAAGGTTAGGTGGATCTGATGCAGAATCTGGATATAGAGGATCAACTGAAAACAATACTGGCAATCAAAAAATAAATTAAAAAGTCTACAGTTTCTGTCTTAGGCTTTCTCTTGGCTCATTTGTTTGGGGGCAAGCCAGCTGCCATGTTGTGAGGACACGCACGCAGCGTGTGGAGAAGTCCAGTGGCCAAGAACTGAGGTCTCTGTCCCCTCACTGAGGGACCAAGTGTGCCATCAACCACATGAGTGGGTAAGAAAATACACCCTCTGGTTCCACATGGCCCCCTTCTGGTCCACCCCGACTAGCCTCACAAGAGACCCCAGCAAGCTCCGCCCAGCCTGATTCCTGATGCACCAAAATGAAGGTAATAAATGTTTATTGTTTTAAACAGCTCTATTTTGGGGGCTAGTTGTTACACAGCAATAGTTATCAACAGCATGCTTCAGTGACAAGTCATACAATGTTTGACTTTGATGTATTGTGATGGGGTGGGGGATCGGGTGGGGAGAAAGCCCAGCCAGGAACTCCTGCCAGGGTCTTAGTGAGACTTAATTCCCAAATCACTTTTCTTGGCCTTAAATTCCCCCATCTAAAGCCAGGTTGAAGGACTTAAGCTTCTGTGTAGCTCAAAGTTTTTTTGTGTCCCTAACTTAACCCCTGACTCTACAAATGCAAACTTCAAAATCAGAATCATTTATAAACTGCTTTAGAGGGGACTTCTTCCATCAGCTGATCTTGCACTCAGTTTGTTTACACCAGTCCACCACATATGCTAAACATCCCAATGCAGTTCAGCCAGCATAACCATAGATAGCGCGACTGTGTTCAGCCCCACTGTGTGTCTCACTGGAGGAGCCATTTCCACCTGTCCTGGGCCATGAGCACCTGCTCTGGCCAGCTGAGGTGCACCATAGACCCTTCCCGGCCCTGGACTGTGGTCCAGGTAGTTCCATCTTCTCACCAACCAGAATAGATGGCTTTATAGACTGGTGGATGCCTGAGAACCAGCAACAGTGACTCTAGCCTACACGCCAGGTCTGCCTTGGTGTTTGCCTGATGGATCCATTGTGATGGGAGAGGGAAAATTGTCCCACAGTCGAGGCAAAGCTAAATGTTAGATGTTCATGTTAATAACTTCTGGCACGTGTCTTATACAGTCATCCCTCAGTATCTAGGGGGAACAGTTCTGGGACCCCCTCGCTACATCCATAATACTCAAGTCCCTTAAATAAAATGGTATAGAATTTGCATATAACTTACACACAAACTCCTGTATACTTGCAGTCGTCTGTACATGACTTAGAATACCTAAGACACCGTGAATTCTAGATGAAGTGTTGTTGTAGTGTTCTTGGTTTGTTTTTGTTTTTTGTTTTTTTTAGTTTTGTGGTATATTTTTTTAGGGAATAACGATGAGAAAAAACAAACAAACCTGTACATGTTCAGGACAGATGTAGTTTTTTTCCTTTTCTGCAGTGCTATGGTTTGAACTCAGGGCCTACTCCTTGAGCCACTCTACCAACTCTTTTTTGTGAAGTTTTTTTTTTTCAAGATAGGATCTTGTGAATTATTTGCCTACGCTGGCTTTGAACCGTGATCCTCCTGATTGCTGCCTGGATTACAGGCATGAGCCACCAGCACCCGGCCAGATGAAATTTCTTTCCCAAAGTATCTTTGATCCTAGGTAGTGGAATCCATGATGTAAAACTCATGGATATGGAGGACTGACTTACATTCTGCAGGCTTTACACAACTAAACCCGCGCTCAAGCAATTGATGCCCTCCACAGGAAGGAGAAGGATGCCACCCAAAGCCCTGTCCCAGACCTTCTGCTGGCCATAGCTGCCTCCTAATGGGCTCCTCCCTGCCACTGCCATTGCCACGGCCTCTGCCTTCCCATGTACCCCCCAGGAACAGTGACAAGAAAAACCTACCCAGCTCTCCACCCGAAATGGAGAAGTCCCGTTCGAGAATGGCCCACTTCTGGATGTGGTATGGGCGGGCCACTGCGTTTGTGTTGACCCTCTGGATACCCTCTTCAATGGCCTGGTACACAGCCTCGTCCCTCTGTCCCACGATCTCTGACACGGTGCTGGCTCGGCTGCCTACTCTCTGGCAGAACTCCACAGCCTGCTCTGTCAGATTGTCGGTTGGCTCGGAGGTGTCTTGGTCCAGGGTGCACTGAAATGCCAAAGGATAGATGAGGACGCAAGCCTGGTCTTGGCAGAGATCACTGATGGCAAGGGTGTGAACCACTGTGGCTCAGTTTCAGAAAGATGGTTCTAGAATGAGTAGGATGCCATTGTGTTGAGCCCTGCGGTGTGGCGGAAGGAGCACTGGCCTGTCAGAAGTCAGTGACATTATCATCTATAAAACAGGCCACGCTCCTGCCTGGCTGCCACCCTGGGAGCCTGAGTCCATGATGTGGAGAATTTTGGGAGGGGTGGGGGAAGCACCTGGAAAGGATTGTCCCAGCCACCTGCTGGGGACAGGAATTTCTCTGTGCTAAGCTGCTCTCACAGGGCAGGCAGCACTGACCGAGTGAGTCCAGAACAAAGCATGAGCCCTAGATGTGCCCTGGTCTGCACGTGGCTTCTGTTAGGCCCAACACAGACCACTGCCTTGCCACACCCCCCGCCCCCACGCACCTTCAGGGTGAGCAGCATGGACAGGAACTTTCTCTGGTCCCCGATCAGCATGGCATTGCTGATGATGGGCAGCTCCATTTTCACAGCCTCTTCGATGGGCAAAGGGGGAATGTTCTCCCCACCGGCGGTGATGATTAATTCTGGGAAGGAAAAGCCAAGGCCCTGGCATGGACTGTAGTCCAGGTGTCTTGGCTGAACTACAGCCCCACCTTGGCCACACCTGGGAGGTCTGAACAGAGGGCAGTTATGCTGGAGATAGCCCTCTCTGGAGCCAGAAAGCAGGACCAGGGTCCCCAAAACACTTCACATGCTATGGGGACAGTGGCTGGCAGCCCCCAGAGGACAATGGCTCACCCAGAGCTCCTACTTCTCAATTTATCCTCTGCGACTCTGCCTGCATAGACATCTCATTTCCAACCCCCTTCTGCCAGCCCCTGGTCCCAGAGCCTCCTACCCTGCCTCTGAGTAGCCTGTGTCATCTCTCCTCCTGTCCTCACTCACACAGCACTCACCATGTGCCAGACCCCGACTGAGTGCTTTACACACAGTAATTCATTAAATTCTCACAATAAGCCTATAGAGAGATGCTTTCTTATCACTTTACAGATGAGGAAACTGAGGCATAGAGGTTCAGTAACTTGTCCAAGGTCATGTAGTGGTGAGTAGCAGAGCTCAGATTTAACTCCATTCTGGTTCCAGAGTCTGTGTTCCTGCATCCCCCAACCCCCGCCATGGGGTCCCTCACTGTGCTGGAATGCCCTCTGTCTTCCTTCCCACTTGTCTGTCACACTGCCTCTCCTAGGTCCAGCTCAGTGACCTCCTTCAAGGATCCTTCTCCAACTGTCCCTGTCCACACTTGCTTCTCCCTTCTTTGCACTGTCCTCACAGCATCCTTCTATCCACCCACTGTTCATGCTTTCTTTCAAATACTTGTTGAGTGTCTCTGTGTGCAAGGCCAAGGTCAAGTCACTCGATACATGATAGTCTGTTCTCTGATTGATGGCTTACCTCCACACTAGATGACAATAGACTCAACAAAATACAGTTCCCTGAGATTTCAGTAGATGCAGCTTACTGCTTTTAGTGAGATTGCACCTGTCCCCCTAGTCCTACCTAACGCAACAAAGGTCACAGACTACATTCCAACAGGTCCTGGGCTGACATTAGGCACAGAATAGAACAAGATAGTCTTTGGCTGCAAGAAGCTCACAATGCAGTGGGAGAGTGAGACATGGGATGTCTGGGGGCCAAGAGGGCCATGGTTGGGGGGTGGGGACCAGGAGGCACCAGGCTCAGGCGGAAGCTAAGTACAGAGAGTGGTTTGGTAGGCAGAGGGCAGGGTGTGAGCAGAAGCATGCAGCCTTTAGAGAGCTGAGGTGGGAAGTGAGGCAAAGGCTGGAGAGGGCACAGGGTAGATTGTGAGGCCTCCAGGCTGTTGGCCCATGAGTAAGCAGGTGGAAAGCACTGAATCGTTTGGGTCAAAGTTTGAGGATGCCCTGATGACTGGGGTGAAGGGTGTTGTTCAGGGGATGGTCTGGCTAGAGAGGAAAACATGAGAAGAGTCCAAAGGAATAGGGGCTGTCTGAGATGGCAGAAGTGGGGTGAAGAACGGACAGACTGGATTTCATTTTTTGGTGGTATTGGGGTTTGAACTCAGGCCTTCAAGTTTGTGAGGGACATTCAACCACTTGAGCCAGGACTCTAGCCCAAGACAGACTCTGGAAATATGGAAAGATGAGTCTAGCCTCCCTCACATACACCTCCTTATGGCTACCTCATGTCTGCCCTTTTCTGTTATCATTGTCCTTTTATGACTTTTAGTAAGTGATAAAAAACCCTTTAAACACTAAATATGGAAGGGAATTTGCTTAATTTGATAAAGAATATCTACAAAAAATTCATAGCAAACATACTTAATGATAAAATGTTGAGACATTTCCTCCTGATACGGAAAAAAGCAAAGATGATCACTGTCACCACTCTTTTTCTGTGGTGATGGGATTGAATCCAGGGCCTCACACATGCTAGGTGAGTGCTCTACCACTAAGCCACACCTTCAGCCTGCCACTTCTAGCCCACAGTGTTGGGGGTGGTCCTAATCTGTGCAATAAGACAAGAAAAAAATTTATAAGGAATGGGAAAAAAGAAGACTTATTATATGAAGATGATATGGTTGGGTTCATAGGAAATTCTGGAACTCTTATGTAGCTCGGTGATAGAGCACTTTGCTTGCCTAACATGGACAAAACCCTGGGTTTGATCACCAGCACTGAAAAAAAGAAAGAGAGAGAGAGAGAGAGAAGAAGGAAGGGAGGAGAGAAAACTACTATGTCAGTTCTTGGAGGCCATTTACCACAAGGCCAAAATACAAAAAGCAATTACATTCCTGACACCAGCAATAAACAAATAGAAATGCAAATAACACTATTCACAATAGCATAAAAATAAAATTCTTAGGAGTAAATATAAGAAGGAGGTGCAAAAATCACCACACTGAAAACTATTGAGACTGTTGAAATTTCAAAAGACCAAAATAAATGAAGGGATGGATGTACCATGTCAATGGATTGGAACACTCAATGTCAAACATATGCAACCTCACCAAATTAATATATAGATTCAAGTCAAATGAAAATTTCAGCTAAAACTCATGGAAATGGAAATGCCAAGGTCATCTTGGAGAGGCAGACATAGCCGCAGAAATTCACGACCAGTCATATCATAAAGATCCTGAGGGTGAGACACTGGAGGGCATCGGTGTAGGATAGGCAAATAGACCAAGGGGACAGAATAGAGTCCAAAACTAGGCCTCCCATAGACAGTCCTTTGATAGATGAACAAGGGGCCACTGCAGGACAATGTTTCGAGAAAGGATGATTTTTTTCTAGAAGTGACAGTTGTACATGTGGTCCAGTTGTATATGCATTTAGAGAAAAAGTACCTGGACCCTTACCTCTCACCATTAATATTTTTAAAAGCTGGGCCAACTCTGGTTGAATTTGGTTTTCCTGGCTGCTAACCCTCCCCGTGCAGGAATGCAGGTCCCTTGGCTTGCAGTTACAAGGGAGAACACTAGGTGGCGCGCGCGATCCCAACCTCCAAGAGTTGGAACCTGGGCTAGCACACCTGCGTTTTCCATCCACGGAGCTTCAGTTTCCTGTGTGAAATGAGGACGCCAGATTCCCACATGGATGGGAATTGCATGTGCTGCGGGAATTACACCCACTCGGGCAAAGTAAGCAAAACGTCTTTCCAGGATGAGTCCCAGTTTCTCTATAGGAAATTTCTTTGAAGTCTTATATTTTAAAATGTGTATCCAATTTGCGTTCTACTCTATTATATCCGTGTTTGCATATAAAAATTCCTAAAATTTATGTCCTCGAATCTTCTGGAAAGTCTTGCCTTGTTTCTGTAGGGAATGTGAATCCCACCATTTGTTAGCCGGATGACCTTGGAGGAATTATTTAACCTCTCTGGACATCCCCAATTAGCTGGGGCAGTAATGGTACCTGCCTCACAGGTGAATAGGGTAAGATGATGGTGATAAAGGTGTGTGGCACTGGTTAGGGCTCAGAGCCAAATGAATAGTAGTGAAAGCAGAATTCCTTACTGCAGCCTTCAATGGCTGCCCACTTCCCAGCCTTCAAGTGCTCACCTTTGAGGCGCCCAGTGATGTAGAGGAAGCCGTCAGCATCCAGGCGGCCGGTGTCACCTGTGTGTAGCCAGCCTTCGGAGTCAATGGCCTCGCACGTCTTGTCCTCCATGTTCAGGTAGCCCATGAAGATAGTTCGGCCCCAGAGACAGATCTCGCCAACACCTTCTGCATCCTCATTCACCAGCTTCACCCGGCAGCCTGGCACCACCTTGCCTGAGCTGGTGATGGAAGAAGGGTCCCAGAGAAACCTGGATCAGCCCCAACTGGGGAGCCTTGGGGTCCCCAAACTCTTGGTATTCACTGATGGTCAGGTGTCCCCTCCCAAGATTTTGTATTTTAATGCAGGACTTATTGCTGAAAGGTGGGGCCAATTAAAGGGTTTTCACTGGAAAGGAGGGAGGGAGGGCAGAAGGAAGAAAGGAAAATGCTGATGGCAGAACTTCCAGTATAGGCTGACAGGGAGCAAGGCATCCAAGCACAAATGATAACCCTTTAAATCACTCCCTAGCTGGGCACTGGTGGCTCACACCTGTAATCCTAGCTACTCAGGAGGCAGAGATTAAGAAGATCACAGTTCAAAGCCAGTCCCAGGTAAATAGTTTGCAAGACCTTATTTCAAAAAAAACCCATCACAAAACAAAAAGAGGGGGACTAAGAGTGGCTCAAGAAGTAGAGCAAGCGTGAGGGTCTAAGTTCAAACTCCAGCATCACCAAAAAAAAAAAAAAAAAAATCACTGCTAATGCTGAGTGCCCTCCCACCCCAACCAGAGCCTGGCCATCGATTCTCCCAGGACATCAGCTAGGAGAAATGGAAGAAGGGAACTCGCCTGGACTGCTAAGGCTGCTTTCAGCCACAGACACACATGCCAAGATGGCAGAGACTGCCCCTCTGGAGCAAGGAGGACAAGTAAGGGACCTGGCTGAGGATCACCGTGTGGGCACTTGGGGCCCACTGCCCAGGGCCAGGTCTGCAGTGTGGAGAGTGAAGTGGGTCCCCAGGACAGTCAGTAGTTACAGGTGCCAAGGGGTGTCCGCAAGGGTGGGTGGGGATGTGTGTCACCCTCGGGCCTCACCTGTAGAGCCGGTAGTTGTAGGGGCTGGACATGAAGTGGGGGCCTGTGGTCTCGCTGAGGCCATAGCCCGCGTACAAGCGGATATTGAGGCCCAGGAAGAAGCGCTGGGTCTCTGCGGTCATGGGCGCCGCTCCGTAGAAGTTCTTCTGACACTTGGCAAAGCCCAGAACCTGGCGGACCTTGGCAAGGACCAGGTAATCTGCCAGCCTGGCTGTGAAGGGCTTCAGGTTGCTGGTGGGAGAGGGAGAGTGGTCCATGGAAGAAAAGACACACCCACCCACACACAAGAGTGGGTAGTCCCCGGGCACACACTAGCACTGCCATTTGGATCGTCTGTCTGATGGTTGTGCCAATGCTGGACCCTTTGTTAAATATTCTGGTTATGGTCCTTGCCCATGAACGTGAATGCAAATGTATGCGTGCGTGCATATGGCTGTAAGCAAATGTGTCTTAATCTAGAAAGACAGCTGTGCACAAATGTACAGGTAACGACACAGGTGTATGCACACTGCACACACCTATGTGGAGAGCTGAAGTGTATATTCACGGACATAATCCCACGTGAAGCCCACAACTGACCAGCTCGTGCACATTCACTTTTCATGTGCACAGATGGAGCCGTGGGTGAGGAGACGTGTTTCGTGAAACACCATCCCATTTTTGGATGGAAAATGGATGGCAAACACCATCCATTGTGTGTACACAATGATAACAGCCAGATTACTCCTCCATCACTGTGTGGAAATTTACACAGCAATCAAAAGGGGTGGGGAAGAGATCTGAGTGGTCCTATGGGATTCTGGGTGGGAAGGAAGGCTGGGAGGGCAGGAGATGCGGGAGACTGTGGGCTGCTCCCGGGATGTGAATTCTTCGTCAGCACTGATCCATGACCAGCTGGGTGCTGGTGACTCACACCTGTAATCCTAGTTCAGAGATCAGGAGGATCGGGATTCAAAGTCAGCCCCAGGCAAAGAGATCAAGAGACCCTACCTCGAAAAAACCCATCATAAAAAGGGCTGCTGGAGTGGCTCAAGGTGTAGACCCTGAGTGTTCAAGCCCAAGGACCACCAAAAAAAAAAAAAACCAGAGAGAGAGAGAGAGAGATCCATGACCAGCCCTGCTGTCTCTGCAGACTTCCCACCCCCTGCCTTCTGTACCTGCTAGGACAGCTGAGGTTCTGCTCCAAGGTCACAGACATGGCCCACAGCAGCACCTTGCGTCGGATAAAGCCGGACTGAGCAGCTACCTCCTGGATCCTCTCCATGATCTTCTCCCACACGCGTGGCACCCCCATGTGGGATGTGGGCTCCACCTCCCTCAGGGTGTTCACCAGGCTTCCCTGCTCACGACCAGGAAGAGACAGGCCTGGCTCAGGGCCAGCTGGGTCCAGGAGGCCCCTCCACCTGGGTCAGGAGTGCACACATCTCACAGCATGCCTGCTGCACACAGCTGCTCACATGGGTGCACACACGACTACGGCCACCTCGTGGCACAGGCTGTTTGCCATGGTTTAACAGCTGGCACCTCACTCTTTGCAAACAGAACCTTACTGTTCTGTTTAATCTTACTCTTTAATCTTCTAACTCAAACATTGTAGTAACCCTATTTCCTTAAGCAGTGTTTGCTTTAGGAACAGACATGTGACACTGTTTGGGCCAATGAGATACAGTGTTTGGGAAGCTTGCCAGGGGGCTTCTGGGAAATTTTCCTCCCAGTTCAAAGTAAGGATCTAAGGATAGGTGTAGTTTATGAGATGGATGCAGGGGATGCTGCAGCTGCCTATGACCATCTGTGGTTGTATTCTGAGGAGGTCCATCCTTGAGAGTGCTGTGGACCCAGCCACCCACTGACACAACATTAAGTCATGTCCCTATGAGTTTGGTCATTTGGGTCAGACCATGCAAAGGCAGCTAAAAGAATTCTAACTGGAAGCCACCACACCCACAGGATCTGCCCACAGACACCAGTACACACCACACCCACGGATACACGTGCAGGACCCACAGACAGGAGTGTACACCGTGGTGCACCCTTGCTAGCCCACTGGACACCCACGCAGTAGGGATGCAGACTGACCTTCAGGGCATCAGACTCAGCAAAGCAGACCTGCGCCCCCCACTGGATGCCCGTCCACAAGTCATAGATCTGGGCGGCGATGTGGCTGAGTGGTAGGTAGCTGACTACCACCTCTTGCTGAACTTCTGCTGGCTGGATGTCGCCAGCCTGGCTGCCGTACCGTGCTGTCCATGTGATCTGGAGGGCAAGAAAATGGACCCCAGCAGGGTCTACAGCCGCCCCTGGCAGTGCTCACACTGTGGCCACTCTGAGGGCTTGGGGCTACTTGTTTGAGGACTCCCAGAATGGGTGCCCTCCCAGGCATTTCTGAAGGCTCTGGAAACCCCTGGAATAGGGGCTTCTTTTCCTCCCTTTTGCTGGGCTCTCTCGACTCCAGACTGGTGGGCTGTCCTCTTATCTCAGCATTCTGAGCTGAGGGGCCAAAGGAGCTTCCCCAGGAGCTATCGAGGCAGGACCTGGTCCAGATCCACCCCCAGACCACCCCACCCATCTGGGCGTCTGTCCTACATTGTCTTGACTCAGCATCACACCCTTGGGGTTCCCAGTGGTCCCCGACGTGTAGACCAGCACGCAGCACTGGTTGGGCTGCTGGGCATTGATGATGGCATCCAGGACCTCTTCGGGCACTTCCTGTCCCAGCTCCATGAACTCCTCCATCTGCAGCCAGGTAGACAGAGCAGCCCTTCTGGGTCAGTTGGTGAACCCAGCCAGGTCCTGCCCATCACCCAGGGCCCACTACTCATACCGTGTATACATTGGCCATCTTCTTAGGAGGAGGTTCTTGGTATATCACTACTGCCTTTAGATGTGGTAAATTCTTCCAGATCTGTGTTGACCAGAAAAGAAATCGAGTTTCAGCAAGAAAAAGGTCACATCCTGAAATGACCTCATGTGCCAGTGTTAGTCTGCTTGGCAGGCACTGTGTGGAAAAGGTCTCTGGGTCCCCTATCTCTGACCTTTGACCCCAGCAGGACATTTGCCACTCTTTTCCCGTAGTTTCACATCATGGGAACTTGGAAGCAGTGAAGGTGGGGATGGGTAGGGGGTAGGAGAAACCACCAAACAACTGGGGGGCCTGTCTGAATAATGATCCAGCCTTACAACAGAGCACTAGGTTACTATAGATGAGAGAGGGACAGAGGGAGAGAATTCTAAGTACCAGCATAGAGCAGTTTCTAGGATATATTACTGGTGAAAAGCAGAATGCATACAATATGTATATAGCATGCTATCTTTGTATAAGAAAATGTGAACCTTCATGAAGACGTGTATATGTATGCAAGCAAGTGTATGCTTCTGTTTGCCAAAAGGAACCTTGGAAATAAAAACCAAAAACTAATTACAGGACTAGCAGAATGACTCAAGTGAAAAAGTGCCTGCCTAGCAAGCATGAAGCCTCAAGTTCAACCTCCCAGTACCACCAAAAATCAAAAACTAATTACAGGAAGGGAGAATGAGAGCAGGGGTAAAGAGAGAGCAGAGGAAGCAAAAGTCTTTGAGTGGATCTTATAGAACTTTGACTTTCGAATCATGTAACTGTTATAATCCTTTGGAAAATAAATTTATGTGAAAAGGGAAAAGTTGATTTTCTAAAACTTTAGAACAAGCTGGAAGAAATGAAGAAATGGAGACTCCAGGCCAAGTTGGTAATGTGAACACACACACACACCCCATTACCTCACGGGGTTTTACAACACTGCATTATGATTCTTCTTTCTCTGGGAAAGGGTAAAAAGAAATTCCAAATTTAATTTTCATTCAGTCTTATTGTTGGTAATAATATTGATACTGTTATTTTGGAATTATGTGACATCTATTTTAATTTTAGGCTAATGGTATTAGGAAGTAAGATTTTAAAGTAAGATAAGAGAAATGCAAGAGTAAAATCAAAGAAAGTAAGTTTACCCCCCCCACACCACATAATGTTTGAATTAGAAATATCATTGCAAACTCTTGATTTAAAAAATAAATAAATATACTATGTATAAACATAAAAATCTACTGATTTCAGATATTAAATGACAGAGAGCTCAAGGTTCCCCAAGGCAAGGGAAATGGGTGAGATGAGTGAGAGGGGAGAACTTTGTAGAGAAGTAATACCAAACGCTAAGGAGGCTCCAGTACCTCCCGTACAATGCCTTAGTATCCCCATGCAATCTACCTGCATTCTCCTGTGGGCTTTTATATCATTTCTAGGTCACTTACGATTCCTAATACACTGTAGATGCTATATAAATTGCCATCATACTCTATCATTTAGGGGACACTGACAAGAAAAGCCTGTACATGTTCACTATAGGTGCAATTTCCACCTCCCCCACCAAAATTTTCCATCTGAGGTTGGTTGATTTGCTGATGTAAGGAGGACTGACTGCATATAGGTTCCTCCCTTAACATGTGAAGTTAAATAAGATCTGAGAGTACGCTGTGATAAATTAAAGACACATGTTGTAAAGTCTAGAGCAAATGCTGCTAGAATAATGGAGTATAGGTAATAAGCTAGTGGAGATGGAATGACATACCAAAACAAAACAAAAGCTCAACCCAAGAGAATCTGTTATGAGGAATAAGGAGAAAAGGAGTGAAGAACAGAGGGGACAAATAGGAGCAAATACTCAAATGGCAGATTGATGACAATTGTGTTAGACTGGATAAAAAAGGATGCTGTCTGCAAGAAAGTCACTTTAAAATTAAAAACATGTTGGTGAGTGGCTCAAGTGGCAGAGTGCCTGCCTAGCAAGTGTGAGACCCTGAGTTCAAGCCCCAGTACCACCAAAAGAAAAAAAAATTAAAGACCCAGATAGGTTAAAAGTAAAAGAAATTAAAAAGAAAAATACATGCAAACATTAATCATAAGCAATCTGGAGTCCATGCTTTTTGAAGTACTAGGGTTTGAAATCAGGGCCTACACCTTGAGTCACTCCATCAGCTCTGTTTTATGGTGGTTTTTTTTTTTTTTTTTTTTTTTGAGATAGGGTCTCATGAATGACTTTCCCAGGTTGGCATCAGACTGAAATCCTCCTGATCTCTGCTTCCTGAGTAGCTAGGATTACAGGTGTGAGACACTGATGCTCAGCACTGGAGTTTTGAGGTAAAGTAGCTTTGGAAAAAGAACTATTATGAAGGTAAGGAGGTATAATTTTAATGATAAAAGTTTAATTTATTCAAGACATAATATATATACATATATACACACATACATACATACACACATATATGTATATTTATACATATATATATATACACACACACGCATATATACAAAACAGAGTTCCCAAATACCTGAAGCAAAAACTGAAAGGAAAAACAGACAAATCTGCAATAATAATTGGACATTTTAACACAGCCTGGATCTGGTTTCTGGGGGCACACATGTGAAGGGGACTGAGCCCAGGTCCCACACATGCCAAGCATTTGCTCTAATCCTGAGATACATCCCAGCCCCTTCCTTGTGTTTGTAGACAGAAAATCCATAGTGATACAGAGGACTTAACTAGCATATAAACACCACTTCTCAATTTGGCATAACCAATGTTTATAGAACATTCTACCACAGAAAATACATTCAAATATTCATGGAACATTTGCTCAAATCCATGGATGTTCTGCCTACCCCACCTGCTCTGTGCAGACAGGCTGTTTGTTTCAGGCACTAAGGACCTCAGGAGAGGAGAGTAAGGTTTTCTTTTAGAGAAGCTGATGAGTTAATGAATTAACATTTTCTACCCTAATGGAATAATTAATTCAGGCAAGAGAACCAATAGATGCTGAAACCATTGCAGAAAGGTTGCTGGGGAATGTCACAATGAAAGAGCAGGTGGTCACCACCTGTCCAGATGACTCTCAGCATAGTAAAATGTGGCAGACCTGACATCATGTGCCCTTAAGGCGGTGCACTGTGAAACACACAGCGCCACCCATGGGTGTCCCTGCCAGAAAAGGTCTCATCTGCAGCGCCCAGCTTTCAGGAAACACCAAGGCTCGCTGAATGGAGTAAAATGCCAGCGGGAGGAAGCGGTGAGACATCCAGAACGTGAGGCCTTGTGTAAGACACGCAACCTAGTTTCTGCAGCATGTTTGGGGCCCAGGCTTCCACCCTCCAGCAGGCGTCAGATCCACCCAAGGTTCCTGCTGAGTGGTGGGGCTCCACACCCTATGTTTCTCATTCAGTAGGACTGGGGTGGGGCCTAACATGTTGCACTTCTCGCAAATTCCCAGGCGATGCTAATTTGGGAACTATAAAGGGAAACAAAAGGCAAGGCTTTGCTCTAAATTTGAAGATACTTAGGCTTCACCACCACATGCAACCTGATTTATTGTCTGATTCAAAGAAATTAATTGTACAAAGATATTTGGGAGGGCTGGTGGAGAGCACCCACCTTGCAAATGTGAGTTGAAACCCCAGTACCACCACCACAAAAAAAAAACCAAAAAAAAACATTGTGGGATCCAGGTGTGGTGGTACATGCCTGTAATCCCAGCAATTTGGGAAGCTGAGGCAGGAGGATCTAGAGTTACAGGTGGGCTTGAAAAGATATTGTGGGTAGGCAGAAAATAGAATGGTGCTTGTCAAGGGCTGGGAAGAGGGAAATGGGGGAAGTTTTTAAATTATTTATTTTTTATTTATTTTTATTCTCATTCAGGTAATCTTTATTTAGGTTTTACTTAAACATTTTTGTTTTGTTTTCTTGCAGTGCTGGGGATCAAGCTAAGCAAGCATTCTACCACTGAGCTATATCCCCAGTCCCTTAAGTTTTTTTTTTCAGTACTGGGACTTGAACTCAGGGACTTGCACTTACTAGGCAGGGCTCTATCACTTGAGCCACACCTCCAGCAAAAAATGTTGATTGACATATAATAATTGTACAACATGTTGTTTTGAAACATGTATACATGGTGTAATGAGCACATCAGGGTAATTTAGCATATTCATCACCTCAAACACTTATCATTTCTTTGTGGTGAGAACATTCAAGGTCCCATCTTCTAGCAATTTGGAAAAGGAATTACTGTTTAGTGTGTACAGAGTTTCAGTTTTGCAAGATAGGAGTTCAGGAAATGGATGGTGGTGATGCTTTTATAACATTGTGAATGAGCTTAGTGATGGTTACACTTAAGCTGGGCACTGGTGGCTCACACCTGTAATCCTAGCTACTCAGGAAGCAGAGACCAAGACAATAGTGGTTTGAAGTCAGCCCAGGCAAATAGTTCACGAAACCCTATCTCGAAAAACCCATCACACACAAAAAAAGGACTGGTGGAGTGATTCAAGGTAAAGGCCCTGAGTTCAAGCCCCAGTACTAAAAAAAAAAAAAAAAAAAGAAAGATTCTAAGATTGTGAGGCAGGTGTGGTGATGCACACCCATAAGCCTAGCTACCTGGGAGGCCAGAGGTAGAAAGACAATGTCAGAGGCCAGTCCTGGAACAAAAAGCTCGAGGCCCTATCTGAAAAACAAATGAAAGCAAAAAGGGCTGGGAATGTAGCTCAAGTGGTAGAGTGCAAGTGTAAAGCCCTAAAGTTTAAATCCCAGTACCACCAAAAAAAAAAAAAAAAAAGAGTTCACGTTTTTAGAAATGCATATTGAAGTATTCAGGGAATGAAATGACATAATGTCAGAGATGAGTGAAAGAAGCAAGTGCAATGAGAATTATTGGATCCAATGATAGATCCAATAATTTATGAGAGTCTCATCTATTTTTGTTTGTTTCAAAACTTTCATATTACAAATATTATTTTAAATAACTACCGAATGTGGTCATTTCCTACCTCTGGGCCTCTGTTCCTCCAGCTGCAAGGTGGGGAGAATCAATAGATCAGTGACCTAGCAGGAATGGCCTGTTGTCTCTCTGAGGGGCAGAGAAGGATGCAGTGTGTGTGCGGGGGTGATTAAGCTCTCCAGATCTTCCCCACCCCAGGTCCAGATATGAGAGGGGGTGTTGAAGAATGTGAGGCTCCCTAGGGAAGGCTGAAGAGAGGGCTTAGCATGGGGTACAGACAGCTCAAGTATCTGCTAGTTTGGCTCTTAGGCAAATCTTAAGCCATTAAGACCCCAGGCCGAAGGTGGGTGGCCTGGGAACCTGGCTCAGCTCAGGACTGGGCTGTGACCAGCTGGGCTAAGAAGGGGCCCAATGACCCATATGCCTCCAAGGCCACCAGGATCTCTGAAGCTTCCAAACATGAGGACATCTGGGCCACAATAAGTCTTAGTGTAGTAACGGGCTTCCTTGCTGACCACCACCAAGAGCCTGGGGGGAGGGAGAAGGAGGGCTGAGACAGCTCAACCCAGAGAGATTCATTTGCAGCACACAATCCACACTCATCTGTCTTCTCCCAATCTTAAGCATGTATCCAGGCCAGTCAGAATGGAGACGTTCAAGAATGCAAGATCCTGAAAGCACCAGGGCTTAAAAGTAGAGGAGACAGAAAGGGGTCCCATACAGAGGCAAGGGTAGTCTCCCGTTGGCAAAGTGAACCATTCATAACTTTTCCGAGTGAAATGAGAGTAGGTCCTAAGTATCTAGGACATCCTAAAATGGCAGAAAAGAGGGTGCGCTCAGAGCAAACCCTCGGAGAGCTCCAAAACTGGTCCAGATGGGTACAAGATTGCAAATGTTGGGCCCCTTATTCCAGCCTTCTTGAGAATTTCAAGATGGAGACAGAAGAGCCTTAAGGCAAACTCAAAGTCCTGTGCGATGAGGAAGACAGCCCTGCTTTTGAGGAATAGACTGACGTTGCTGATCCCTGTCCCTGCCCAGACTCTGGTAGGTCCGGGGCCTCCCTCAGTTTCCTTCTTTCAGACTTCTGGGCTCCAGGGCCTGTAAGGATCTGGTCCCAAGCTACAGATTGCCTCCTAGTCCCTCCCAGGGAGGAGCAGGTGTGCTCTGACTAGGTTGTCATGTTAGGGTGTTTGGGAGCAGGCCTGGACTCTGAAGTCTTCCCAGAGCACGATCTCATTTTGTCACCAACTGCTCACAGCCTCACTGGAGGAAGCTGTTCTAAACCTCACACTGTTTGGGGAGGCCTTCTAGGAGATCCTGCACTGAGGTCAGAGCCACAGTCTCAGCCTGCCCAGGGGAGGATTTCTGGCCTCTCTGGAGACCCAGATTCCATGATCCTGGAAGGCTGACCATTTGACCTTTGGGTTCAAATGGGAAACAAAGGCCCACGGGACATCTCCAGATCCAAGCCAATCCAACAAGCCCATCTGAGAGGCCCCCTCAGGGAAGCAGGGAGGTCTGGAAGGCCTCATAGACTACTGGGTACAGCTAAGGCACAGAGGTGTCACCCGGCTGCCACAATCCAATGTGATATAGGTAGGGACAAAATTAGTCAGGGGCAGGCCTTAGGTGGGATCAGGAGGGATCATGGGAGTCCCAGGAAGAACCCATCGGGCTCAAGAGGTACTTGTGGGTTTTTTTGTTTTGTTTTGTTTTGTTTTTGTGTTTGGTGGTGCTGGGGTTTGAACTCAGGGCCTCCCATTTGCTCGAGACACTCCACCAGCCCTCAAGAAGTACTTTTAAACTCCTGCCACAGCACTGTCTTTGGGAGACTCCGTGGCATGCTCTGACTTGGCTCCACCCCCATGACAGCCTCACCCCATTCCCACTTGGAGTTGAATGCTAAAGACATCAGAGCCCCAAGCCATCCATGCAGCCTTTCCACCAGAGACCCACAGTTCTTGCTCTCTTTAGGGGAGACTCTATTCTGAAGGGAAAGCCATGGGAGGCAGTCCTATCACCTCTTTCTTGGATGCCCTGGTCCCTTCAGTTTTCTGGGATTGATTTCCTGATCTGTAGAATGGGTAGGTAACTGTTGCCCTGCCTTGCTCAATGTGTGTGTGTGTGGGGGGGGCGGGGTGCTGTGAAGGGTGAGGGGGACTCTTGGGGAGGTGGGAAATGTCCTTTCTAGGCTGACCCTGTGTCCTCCATACCTTCAGGATCTTTTCCAGCTGCTTCTGCGTGTCAACCACGATGACGTTGGCGCGGCAGTCATGGGCAATGTACTGGCAGGCCTCAGGGGAGCTTGTCGTGTAGATGCCGGTGACAATGCCACTGTAGGAGACCCAGAGGTGTTCATACCTGGGCAGGTGCAGACGAGGCGACCCCTCCCCCTCCCTCATCCTCATAGGTCCCAGCCCCAAAGAGCTCCTGTGGCTTGAAACCCACCCCTCCCTGGTTACTCACCCTGCAAACACTGTGCCCACTGCCGAGAAGAACCATTCGGGGGAGTTGAAGCCCAGGATGGCCACGCTGTGTGCTCGCTCCAGACCGAGCTGCAGACAACAGGCAGACAACTACTCAGCCAGGCAGGCAGGCTTCTCCCTCCCTTGCCAGCCACCATGCAGACCACCGAGGGGACCCCGCAGGTCAGTCTCAGGGCTGGGTCAGCCAGAGGACTGACCACTCTACAGCCCTTGTCTCCCTCTTCCAGGGCCTTCACAGGGACCCCAGCCCCCAGTCCCGCACACTAGGCTTCCCAGCCATCTCTCTGGATAACAGCTGAAAAGTTCAAGTGCCTGGCGCGTGGTAGAGTTCAGGAGACATAAACTCCTTTGCGCAGGGTCCAGCACGTAGTATTAGCTCAATAAATGGGAGATGGGTGTGGGACTTCCATGGGGAGGTGGCCTTCGAGGGCCCAAGCTGGACGCAGGTCTGGGGAGAGGAAAGGGTGCCTTGAGGACCCTCACCTTCAGGAACCCCTTGGCGGCCCTGCGGGCAATCTGGTAGTACTGGCAATAGGAGATGTGCTCCCACTTATCCTGGCGCTTGAAGCCTAGAGCACCGAGGTCTCCGTACTTATCCAGGGCCTCATAGAACATCCGATGCACAGTGTAGGGAAGCTGTGGGCAGCTGGGGTCCATGCGCAGGCGGACCCGTCCATCGGCCTGGGTTGTCCATAGGGCCTCCTCTGCAGGGGGAGACCACAGCTTGGTCATGACCTCCTGGGTTCTCCCAAGGAGACCCATCCCCGCCTGGCAGAACCTCCACCCCTGCTGCTGCTGACAACACCTTGGGCATCGGGCAGGCAAGCCAGGGCTGGGGCAGGCTGGGAGGGCTGCCTGGAGGAAGAGATCTGGCTCGGCCTTGAAGGATGATCAGTGCTTAGGGATGCAACAAGAAAGAGGAGAGGAAATAGCTGGAGGAGAGCTGAAAGCCCTGGAAGATGCAGAGGCTTCCAGACCTTTCCCTGCTTTTATCCCAGCAGGAATTTGTCTCCCCAGGTTGGGCTGTTTGGGAGTGGAGCTTTCATTGCCTCAGAAGAGTAAGATTCACAGGTGTGGTGGCTCACGCCTGTAATCCCAGCTACTCAAGGTTTGAAGCCAGCCCAGGCAAAAAGTTAGCAAGACCCCCATCTCAACCAATAAAGCTGGATGTGGTGGTGCTCGCTTGTCATCTCAACTACACAGGAGGCGTAAATGGGAGGATCAGTGGTCCAGGCTGGCCTGAGCAAAAACACAAGACCATTTGAAAAATAATTAAAGCCAAAAGAGCTGTAGCATGACTGGAGAGGTAGAGCGCCTGCCTAGCAACCTCAAGGTCCTGAGTTCAAACCCCAGTACTGGTAGGGAAAAAAAGAGTAGAATTGCCAGGTCTCAGGGATCCCCTGCCTTCTGGGAATGGATGGGGACAGATCCAGTTGGGACAGAAGACCAAGAATCAACGGGAGAGAGCGCCCTAAGGATCTGGAGGGGACTGAAAACCAGCAGGCCCGGATCTCCAGCCACAAAAACTCCACTGCCAGAACCAACAGCAGCGCCTGCTCACTCTCTCTCCCCTGCTCTCTCAGTGCCTGAGCACCTCAGACAGACTCAATCCTTTCCCAGGGTCATGAGTCAAAGAAGTAGCCGAGTCAGGACTTGTACTCAGGAGTGCCTGATGCCCACACTTTGGACACCGTCTGAGCACCAGGAAGCAGCCTTTGAGGGTCAGGAGGCGTACCCTGTGTGCGGTGCGTGGGGACAGAGACTGATCACTTAGGTGGTGAGATTTCGGGTAAGCACTGACACCCCTGAATTTGTTTCTTTACTGGGAATGTGCGGATTTGTCCTCAGGGTGGATGTGAGGATTGAAAGAAATGGTGTGTATAGACTTGGTGCTCAATAAATGCACACTTTCCTTTTTCCTGTTTCCTAGTTTTTCCATTTGTTTGAAAAGGATGTTTGGATGGGATCCTGATGGGCCTCCTTTCCCTGAGGCAAGAGGAGTAATGGATTCTAAGATGACTCTGTGGGGGGGGGGTTGGGAGAGAAAGGTGGGGTGTTCTGGACAGCTGGGCTGCACTGCCACCTGCTGGCCAGACCTGTTGTCCATCTTGGAGGGGACACAACAGGGCGCCTGACACACTGATTTAGACACGTGGACTGGATGCTCTTGCCCCTCCTCTTGACAGTCTCTCTCTCTCTCTTTTTTATTTTGTCAATACTGGGGTTTGAACCACTTTAGTCAATCCTCCAGCTCTTTTTTTATGATTATTATTATTTTTTTTTTGAGATAGGATCTCTTGAACTCTTTGCAGGGGCTGGCTTTGAACTGTGATCCTCCTGATCTCTACTCCCAAGTAGCTAGGATTACAGGTGTGAGCCACCAGCCTCTTTGACACTCTGAGGTTGACATTCTGAGATGAAGTTCCTAGGACAGGAGATAAGATTCCTCTTCCTGGGGACAGCCAAGAGTGGGGGGAGGGGACTACATGTCCCCCAATCTGGAGAAGGGAATGCATGAGACAAGGACACAGCAGCCTGTGGGAAATGCAGGGTGGATGGAGCAGGGTGACAGGAGAAGGTCCCTCATCTGCTGACCCCTGTTGGCAGGAACTGGGTCCATGCTGCCCTCCATCCTTTCACCCTTTCAGGGACAGAAGTCCCTGTGCCAGCCAGTGCTGGAACCAAATGCCCTTGGGTAGAGCTGTGAGCCAGGGGTGTGGCACCCAAGGTGCACCCCCAAGTTCCCCACAGACTTCTCTAAGCCTTTCCCTCATCTTACAGCCCCAGCCTGGCAGGCTTCATGATCAGAGTCTCCAGGAGGACAGAAAGACAAGCAAGGTGGAGCCAAGGAAAACTGGGTTCCAAACCTCGACTCCACCACTCGCTGGGTGTGCCTTGCAAGCCATTGTCCTCTTGGCGGCACGTCAACCATCTGAAAGTGCAAGGAGTCGGCAAGGATGTCAAGTTGGACCCTCACAGTGGGAACGATCAGTGGTTTCACCTCATTGGAGAACAACTTAGCAGTTAAAGGTAAGCCTACCATTCCACCCAGCAATGCCACAGCCAGGACCCGCCCAAGAGAAACGAAAACACCTGTCCTCTGGGACTTATATGCAGATGTTTACAGCAGCCTTATATAGAGTAGTCCGAGAGTGGAAACAAACCAAATGTCCATAGACTGTTGAATGAAAACCAGAAAGTCCTTTATCCACAATGGAATAAAATTCGCTGTAAAAAGAAACAAAGTACCGCACTGTGGATAGCGTGGATACAGCTCAAAACAAGGAGACAGTGACAGAAGCCAAACACAAATGACCAAGTGTATCAAATGATTCCCTTATACAAAGTATCCAGAAAAGACTGGTTCCCTGGTGGGGAATGGGAATGACCACAAAACAATTCCAAGTGCCTTTTCCCTGGGTGATGAACACATTCTAAAATTTGATTATGGTGATGATTAGGCAATTCTGTAAATATGCTTAAAAATCTTTGAGTTGCATGTTTTAAAATGTGGAAATTAGATCAGGTACTGGTAGCTCACGCCTATAATCCTAGCTACTCAGGAGGCAGAGATGAGGAGGATCACAGTTCGAAGGCAACCCGGGCAAATAGTTCACAAGATCCTATCTTGAAAATGCCCATCACGAAAAAGAGCTGGTGGAGTGGCTTAAGGTGTAGATCTGAGTTCAAACCCCAGTACAGCAAAAAAAAAAAAAAAAAAGTAGAAATTAGATGGCATATAAGTTACCCCTCAATAAAGCTTCTTTAAAAAGAAGGGAGGGAGAGCGTTGATCGTGTTGATCCCCTCCATTGATAACAGGGCTCTGGGGACGGCACGCACAGGACCTGGCATCCAGGTGCTGTCCTGTGGTTAGTTCTCTCCTCTCCCTATTGTTACATGGACCACAATGGCTGGCATCCTCCCGAGATCACTTCTAGAGGCTCATGCTGCACTGTGCTCACCTGTTCCCCAAGGTTGTCAAGCCAAGCAGAGGTAAGATTCTATCTAGTGATTCATTGTAAAGATTCTGAAGCCAGGGGTTTTTAACTCAGAACATTCACAACTTATTTTGGGCGGGAGAGAGGGGGACTGGGGTTTGAACTCGGGGCCTCATGCTTGCGAGGCAGACGCTCTACCACTGGAGCCACTCCTATAACCTCTCTTTTAAGAATGACAATATGGTAAGGGAGAGCAATGGAAGGGGTTGAATGGACCAAAGTAAAGTAGACTCAGAGCAGGCAGACATTGAAAAACCCCTTTGAACATCAACTCAAATATTAATAGTGAAAACCAGGACTGTAAAATAGGTACAGTGTGTGCGGGGGTACTTGTGGGATTGGGAAGGATGAAAGGAGATTAAGGTGAGGGAATATGGTTGATGGACTCCATATACTTATACAAAATAGAACAACGAAACCTCTGGCAATTGCTCCAAGTGGGGAAGGGAGGGGGTGGAGGGGGAGAGCCGGTGGGGAAGATCTAACCAGTGTGCAATCTAAGTCTATTTGGAATTGTCATACAACAAATATATCCCAATAAAAAAGAACGAATAAAGAAATTACAAACAAAGAAATATGAACATTTTGGAATTCTATGGTGTAAAGTGACAGACCCTCCTCATACAAACATCCAGACAGGAGTTAGGTTTTATTTGGTTACTGTTGCTGGTGTTTGTTTCTTGCTAGCTCGTAGTGCTGGGAGTAGGGTGCTGAGTATGCTAGGCATTCTGCCTCAGAGCTGCACCCCAGCCCTGCAAAATAAAAGGGTGGGGGGTCTATTATTAGCGCATTAATCATTTGATACTGATGTATCGGCATCCTGATAAGTAATGAGTAATAAGTAAGAAAGGAATGAATTTGCAAGTGAAACCCAGAGGGCAGTCTTCATTTCCACCAAAAAACAAGGCCCCTCTCATCTTCCTTGAGACACCTGGCCCCTGGCTTGCATCTTTTGTTTGTCTTTGATGGAATCCTCGAACAGTGTCATGTATCTCTAGTGTAAGAAAAGCTACAGAGTTGGAGAGATCCATTGTTCAATTGATGACCATAGTTAATAACATCTTTTTTTTTCAGCACTGGGATTTGAACTCAGGGGCCCAGGCTTGCCAAGCAGGCACTCCACCACTTGAGCTACTCCACCAGTCCTTTTTATAACATGTCATCTCGAGAACTGTTGGTCCGTGGCTGGCTTCAAACCTAGAACCTCCTGATCTCCACCTCCTGAGTAGCTAGAGGCATGAGCCACCCGTGTCAGGGACATTTTATATTCTTGAAAATGACTAGGAGCAGATTCTGTGTTCTCATCATAAAAAATTAGTCTACGAAGCAGTGTGTATGTCATCTCAGTTTAGCCATCCCCCAATGTACGCAAGTTTCAAAACATTTCTTCTACCATAGATAGTTACGATTTTTATTTGTCAATATAAAAAGAAAAAAAAATTGGGGAGGTACTGGGTTTTGAACTCAGGGCCTCCCACTTGCTAGACAAGTGCTCTACCACTTGAGCCAAGCCTCAAAAGCTACAGTATGGGAAGGATGATAATTTTACCAACTCAGCTCAGGGAGGGGGCAGGGATCGGGGGAGGTGAGAGACCCTGTTTCTCAGCTGTACGACTTGATGGCCAGTAGGAGCAGAGAACCAAGAGTTACCAGAAGATCTGCTTACATTTTAAAAAATAGCCAGGTGCCACGATGGCTCATGTTT